GTACAGACACTGCCTGTTTTGACCACAACACTGCTATGTAGCATGACTGCTTCACACTTTTCATGGAGATTCTCCTGCCTTATAAAATCCATAGGAGAAACACTAAGCATTCTAGGAAAGAGAGCTACACATTTCCTGACTACGAATGACCACTAAAAAGAAACACGAATTTGCCATTACTGACTTTAAATATCAACCTCGAGGTCTAGATCTGTCCATAATTAGATTCTGTAGTAAATTCCCCTTCATGGAACCTCTTTCACTTAAAAGGAATTAGGTCAGGTTTTTACAAAGGCAGAAGGAGTATCTGTGATAGATTTATTAAAATTCCCCATTGTTCCATTAAAATGTGCCCTTTTGCCTTCACTGTAGCTTGTGTTGAATGACAAAGAGTGACAGCCAGCGGCTGCTGAATCCTGCAGGCTGGAAGTTCTGTCTACTGAGGCTCAGGATGAGATAATGTTCCCTCCTCATCTCCCTTCCCAGGTGCAAGGCTGGGGACAGAATTTATGAGACACAAATCCATGCTCCAGATTTTCCACCTGGCAAGGAGAGCATGGTTCATTCAGAGAACGAATAGCTAAGCGTGCTACACAGTATGAAGTAAGAAAGGCCATGACACCGTAGAGGGAAGGCGGCTCAAGCTAGTTCTCAACCCGGGGAAGTTAAAACTATTTTTTAGTAATATCAAAGTGACAGTAAAAACTGACTTGCAACTGAAAACAGCAGTAAAATTTATATAAATATCATGACATCAGTATAGTGAACATTTTCCTGGTTGTCAAGATGAGTACATCAAACTCAACCTTTCAATCCAGCCCTGATTTAGTTTAGAAGTGTGCTGCTTCCTTTTTTTGTTTTGTTTTGTTTTGTTTTGTTTTGTTTTGTTTTGTTTCAAGACAGTATTTCTCTGTGTAGCTTTGGAGCCTATCCTGGCACTCGCTCTGGAGACCAGGCTGGCCTTGAACTCACAGAGATCCACCTGCCTCTGCCTCCCGAGTGCTGGGATTAAAGGCGTGCGCCACCAACGCCTGGCGTGTGCTGCTTCTTAGCTTTCTTCCCAGCAGAATTTTTTGACCAGAGACTGGAAAACGTGGTCTTGATCATCTCAGTTACATTAGTGGAAGATTAAAAAGATATGCAGCTTTCAAATGACTGTAAAAGACAGATATGCTTACTACACAAACCCAGACAAAAGCAGATGTAAAAGTTAAATTCCTCCTAATGCTTCCACTCAGAGATGAAGCTGCACCTGAACCTGAAAGTTGCACTGTCTTACAATACCCGACTGTTGTCATCAAGCACTCCTGACGATGTTTTTGTAGAGTCTCACAGTTACTGACTTCTAAATGAGATCATAAAAAGAAATCTGCATGTAATTCCATGGGCAAGATGAGCTGCAAACTAAAATGGTTGCACCTGAGTACTGCCCAATTGCTAAACTATACCAGAATGAGGTAAAAACAAATAAATAAAAATAAAAAATCTGGCCCAATGGGATGAAGAAATGGCTCAGCAGTTAAGGCTGTTCTTCCAGAGGACCTGAGTTTGATTCCCAGCACCCACATGGCAGTTCACAACTGTCTTTAACTCCACTTCCAAGGGATCTGATGTCCTCTTCTGGCCTCCATGGGTATCGCATGCATGTGGTGCACAGATATACAGCAAGCAAAACAACCATACACATACAATTAAATAAATTTAAAACAAAATATGACTGGGAACACTTGCCTAATTGTTTGAAACCCCACATAGGAACACTGGAATATAAACAGTCACAGAATTTTAGTCAGTGTCTAATTATTATACTGGACACCTTGGCTTCACACCTAAAGAAAGGATTGATAGTAGATGGTAGGAGCAGAAGTTCCCAGCATTTTCCCTCTTAAAAAAAAAAAAAAAAAGAAAACTTATTTTTTTAATCTAAAAATTTATTTATTTAATCTTGGTATATGTAAAAATTAGATTTATTTATTTGCTTATTTAACAGGTATGTTTGTGTGGGTTCACACGTTTAGAGGCAACTCTCTTCTTCTCTGTGTGGGTCTGGAGCTTGAACTCAGATTGTGAGGTGAGGCAGCAAGCATGTTTGCCCAAGGAGCCGTCTCGACAGCCTACTGTCTCTGTTCTTAATGCTTACTTAGTACAGTATCAATTTTTAATGGTGCTTCCAAGGCCAAAATAAATAGCTAACAATTACTCTGCTCACACACTTAGGTGCAAACAGTTCAGTAAGTGTATACGTCTTGCAACTTAGCAGCCACTTAAACAGTAGTATCCACAGAGGAAAGAATGACCACAACCACTGCAGGGTGTGTGCCTCTAATGGGCAACTGTAGAGCTCCAAATGCAATCACACTGAATAGTGCCTGTTCCAGATCAGTTCTGTGGACTTTTGCTCATCACTACACCAGCTGTTGAACAACTAACTTTTGGAAGCTGGGACATCATCAGAATGAATCCCAGTCTACTGGCAGAGGGAATGTCCCTGGACTGGAGGCTGCAGTGGAGTCCAGTAGATGTCAAGTCCCAGGGCAGCCCCTGTGAGTTTGCTGGAGCACTCTAGCCTGGCTGGGGCAGTCTGGCAACCTTACACTATTGCTTATTACCTGTGTGAAAGTGGCTGTGACTCCCAGGGTCTAATGCTGCTCATGTACAGATCCTGGTTCTAACTCTAGACTGCAGAGATCCATAGTAGGATGTGCAGAAATTCTAAGCATTTAGGGGGGGAGATCCACATGCTGCTGGCCAAGTGGCCCCTTCAAGCCTTCAGATTCTTATTTGCTCCTACTTATCAAATGTCAAATGCTGCTATAACATTAATCCCTCAACATACTTCACAATAAGTAATCCTATAATTGAGCACCTAATCCATGGTGGCTAAAAATTACTGGTAAGATGAGTAAGAAACCTTCGTCTTAGCACTTTTACTAGAAAAGAGGAAGAAACAGTCATGGAGTCCCTTGGCTTCCTCAGTGAGCCATCACAGGAACCTGGACAAGCCCCTGGGGCCAGCAGAATGATTCCTTTCCCCTAAAGACTGATGTTTCGGTCTCTGGAATTTATCAATGTGTTGCCCTACAGGGCAATGAGGGTTTAGCCTGAGTTGGAATTAAGGGTGCTAATAAAGGGAGTCTGACATTGGGAGATTATCCTGGATTATCAGAGTGGGCCCAATGTCAGACAAGGATCCCTGAAAATAGAGGTGGGGGGACAGGAGAGCACAGACGCAACTGTGAACAAAGTCAAGGGGGCTGTAGCATGCTAAGAATCATTGGTGGAAAGAGATTCTCCCAAAGTCCCCATGATGCTCTTAGCCAAGGCCCCTCTGGCAGGTCGCTTTCCATTCCACAGGATATAAGAGAATACTTTGGGCTGTTGTTGAGCTGCTACATTTATACAACTTACTAGAGCAACCACAGGAAAAAAACTCAGAATTTATATTAATAATAACAATAAAAACAACAGCAACTACAAATATTCTTGGTCAGTTACACAAACTAAGCAAGCTGGATACAGCAGCTTCCAAAAGGCGTTTCCAGAAACCATGTTTCTGTACAGATGATGCGATAATGCCATATAAACTGAGGACCAAGCCAGCTCAGAGAATTATACTGAGGTATAATTTAGGTAGAATCATGCTTTGCTTTTATTGTATTGTTTAGTAATAATTATAAACAGGATAAAATATGTTATGCTCTAGTGTGAATTTTATATGAAAGCATTTTCACACATATGAGATAATGTAAAGAGGACACTTCCCTGTGGGAAATATGCAATTATTCCCTGGATTCTTTCCTCATGACGATGGGACAAGGGACGCCTCTTCATATTTGTGTTATGTACACATGTGCGTGTTTGCACATGCACACAAGTGCATGCATGTGGAGGCCTGACACTGATTTTGGGTGTCCTTCCTTGATCCTTGTCCACTTTACTTTTTAGCACAGGGTCTGTCACTGAACCTGAAGTCCCTTTGTTGGGACAAGCGGGCGAGCCAATAAGCTACATGGATCTGCCTGTGTCTGAGCCCCCAGCCTTTAACAAAACAGTTTTAAATTTGTGTATGGGCATGGGTATGCGCACAAGTTCAATTGCCCTTGGAGGCCAGAAGTGTTGGATCCCTGGGAAATGGAGTTACATGTGGTTATGAGCCACCCAGCATGCCTGCTAGGAATTGAGTCCTTGTTGTCGAATATTATTTTAAGTGTGTGACATCTATTTATGCTGTGGAACGCTTATTTTAATGATGCAAAGATGTGTTGCATTCTTTTATGTTGCATTTGTTTAATTCGTGAAGCTGTGATTCTTTGCCTGTCTAAAACACCTGATGGTGTAATAAAGAGCTGAATGGCCAGTAGTGAGACAGGAGAAAGGATAGGTAGGGCTAGCAGGTAAAGAAAATAAATAGAAGGAAAAATCTGAGAGGAGAGAGAGAAGGAGAAGAGAGATTAAGAAGTGAGAAAAGAAGGGGCTAGCCACCCAGCCATCCATGGTGTAAGAATGAAAGGTTACAGAAGAAAAGGAAAAAGCCCAAAGGCAAAAGATAGATGGGGATAATTTAGATTAAGAAAAGCTGGCTAGAAACAAGCCAATCTACAGCCGGGCATTCATAAGTAAGAATAAGCCTCCGTGTGTGATTTACTTGGTAGTTGGATAGCAAGCCCCCAAAAGAGCTAAGAGCTAAAGAGTAAAACAACCAACATTTGGGCATTCCAACATGGGGCTAGAGTAAAAAAGAAACTCCAACAACAAGTCCCCTGCAAGAGCTAAGCCATGTCTCTTAGCCCCCTGACCTCACCATTTTATGCAGGTTATGGGGATCTGATCTCAGGTCCTGGTGCCTCCCCAAGGCATTTTACCAATAGGGCCACTGCCATAGCCTGCTTCTTTATACACTGAGCAATGACAGACAGCAAGACGAGGTCCTACTGTCAAGAGTATGTATATTTCTGTGAACGGAAAATATTGAGCCCAAGCTCAAAAATAACCTGGCTCACCTGTCGTCAAAGGCAAGTGGGTGATGCTGTTTAGACAGGTCAGGGTGAACCATGTGGAGGACAGTGTAGCCCCAGAAAACAGGAGGAGAAGAATTAGTTTCAGCATACCCCGGATAAAATCTGCAAACCTGAAAAGAAACAATATTACATTAATCCTAGCTAGACTTTTCAGTATTGTTTAAATTAGCAACATACTTTGTTTAAGCAACTATTACTTGAATTTTCCCTGCATAGCTTTTTTTGTTTTGTTTTGTTTTTCGAGACAGGAAAGCCAGTTATAAATATATATTTACTTCTTTGTTTGTGTCTAGGATGTTACTTAATAATAACTTATTTTCCTCCTGCAAAATATAAACGATAATTTGTTTGGAGTCCACAGTTCACACAATAGATTTTGACTTTTTAAATTGACTTTTATTTTATTCTTACACTTTCTAAACATTCTATAATGAATACATATTAGGCCAGTTTTAGTGTTGATGGCTCTTCCAGCAGTCACACACCAAGAATGCACACAGATGCCTGCAGAGATCTGGCAGTCAACATGACCAGGCCCTACTTTGCTCTCCTACCCGTTTCCAATGGGTAACTGTTTTCCGTCCTCATCTACACTAAGGTTGGTTCCCACAGCAGGGTCTGGCTTTAGTACTTGCTTGTAGTTGCCTTTCTGCTGGTGTAATACTAACACTCAGACCCTCAAGTGCTCACTCCTGCTTATCCTTCACTTACCCAGGTCTTGTTCAACATGGCCCTTCATGCTCACTCAAGCCCTCCCCAAGGTGGCCCTACATTCTGTTTTATATCTGCATAACAGCTTTCCTCTGTTGGAAATTGTTAGTTTTTGCATTTGTTTATTTCCGGTCTTCTTAATAGACTGTAAACTTTCTAAGAGCAAGAAGACAACTAAGCTATGGTAACATATGGCTGTAATCCTAGCACCCAGGAAGCCAAGGTAGGAGAAGGGAGTGCTCAAGGCCACCCTGGGCCACAAATGAGACCTGAAAAATCAGTCGGGGAGTGGGGGGTGCTGGATATTATCCCAGAAAGCTGCGAGTTTTACAGCATTTCAGATTCTCAAAACTTACTACTCTTTCCCTGAATCTACCTGAACTGAAAACTATGCCCTTCGCTACCCCCACCACACCCTGCCCCCTTCCCCCGCCATTTCCATTTGCTGCTTTTCTTCCTACCACAGCTCTGGCTGTACCTAAACAGCTACTCCATTCTCCGGCATTATTTCTATTATAGAAATGCCCCCAATATAACATGAAGCATGTTCTTTCCATCTGCCTTCAAAGCTGAGTGCAATGCCTACTCTCTATGCAGCTGTCCTTTGTAACACTGCAATACTATCCCCCCCCCTCTCTCTCTTTCTCTCTCTCTAATGCTGTGGGTGCTCATGTTCCTTAGCGTTTTTTCTGGACTAAGTGACTCTATGATATGAGAGTTGCCGCCACCTACTGGTGGGAAGAATGGGCTGCTTGATTAGTAACAGGTTTGTTCTTGTCAAGGAGCAATTCCTACATACTCTGGAAAGATGTGTCTCCAAAGAGATGGCAGATGCTTGTCTGAATTCCAAGCTCACTGCTTATTATTATTTATTATAGGAAAACTGTGTGTGACTTTTGTCACAGACGAGAGATTTCCTCACACAAACCTTTAGCTTTTAGATTTTATTCTTCTATGCTTTTCTAACATTAAAAAAAAAAAAAAGAACAAAAGAAAGTGACCTGGAAGTTATAAATTCACTTAATTCCTACATCATCCCAGAAACACCATGTAAAACTGCAAAGTCTATATATATTATCCTGTGTCAACTGTTTAAGGGTTTAGATATTGAGAGGATTTGTGTATCTACTTGATCTCCTCAAACATGTAATCAGATTCTCTTCTTCCTGGTGAAGTGATTGCTGGTCTTGGTGAGATGCAATGTCTTGGACAGTGAATAGCACTCATTCTTACAATGTCACAGGAATGAGTGGCATTTGTATTTCTAAGACTTCTTTTTTAAAAAATAAAGAACCCTCTTTCTTCTTCTAACCCACTCTAAGAATGTGTTATCATAATGGGTTTGGATGAAAGAGAGTCTGAGGACATTAGAGACCTTTATAGACATTTCCATCAAACATCTCTGAGCCCACAGATGTTCTGGTTTGTGGTTCCTTCTTGCTAACTGCTACTTTATCTTTTTACTATTTTTTAAAATTATACCACTGGGGGAGAGGCATTTGAAGATGTTGCTCTCCAATAAAACAAGGAGAAGGCACTTAATTACACTGGGAATACACTTCTGGCCTTCAGAAACCACTGTGGGACAGCTGCTCCTAAGCAGGCTTCTTGTGGCTGGAATCCTTTTTGCCACATGAGCACTCCTTGTAACCTAAACAAGTGACTGTTTCTGGCCTTTTCTTCTGCTCTTTCCTAAATAATGTTCATTTTGGGGAACCCACTTCTCTACTGACTTCTCCCTCCACCCCCATCACTTACAAGTTTGATATGAAATATTCTCACCTCGCCATAGCTATCCCAACAACACATCCTCCAACTATAGACCAAAATCCAATCCAGCCAGCATCTACCTGTTAACAAAGCAGCAGACACATTAATACAAGACTAGCATAAATGAAATCCTCTATAGTCAATATTAACAGCTAATTGGCAACAAATGTAGGAATATTATTTAAGAAAATGGATAAAACAGTCTGGTGGTAGTAGTGCACGTCTTTAATCCCAGCACTTGGGAGGCAGAGGTGGGCAGATCTCTGTGAGTTCAAGATCAGCCTGGTCTATAGAGTGAGTTCCAGGATAGCCTCCAAAGCCACAAAGAAACCTGTCTCAACCCCCCCACCCAAAGAAAATGGATAAAATGAGTCATGTATAACTAATGAATACAAATTTATCAACATAATTATATCCCCCACTAATTTTTACTGGAATGCTTAAATCAACAAAATAATGCCATTAAATATTTTCAGGTATGTGCTGTACACTAGCATTGTCTAGTACTGACTAGTACTAAGAACTCTCAATAAGAAAGGACAGAAAACAGTCGCTAACCTCAAGAAGTTTAAATCTAATCATCATACATAAAACTAGAAAATCATTTGTTGCTAAGACATCTGGTCATATCCAGTGGTCACAGTAATGCCTTCCTCCTGGTAAGTTGTGTTCTGTCAATATCCCGTCACTTAGAAGTCTGATGAATGCAAGAAAATAGAAAAAGAAAAGCTGAACTCAGAAAACATCTATGCTCCTGCTACTGACGAGCTCAGTGACTACACCTCTTACTACACAATGATGAATGAGATGATCTGTGCCCAGGACTTAGCTTGACGGGACACACAGCAAGTGCTCACTGAGCATTAGTGGCTATTCCACCTCAGGATGCTTCTCCTGTCTCAGCTCATCCCTACTTTAGATGATTAGATTTAAAGTTACATTCTCTCAGGGCTCTTGACACCACCACCTACACTTGCACATCACTAATGCCCTCTGTCCCCCACACACTTCAAGTCAGGAGCACAGGGCTGAGGAAGTTCTTTTTGAGGTAAAGTCAGCTACTATATGTAAAGGACTGAACACTTGTTAGTCGTTGTAATGGAATCTCTGTGCCTCCTTCAGAATACTGAATACGTTTTTGTCTTCCTACAATCGCCTACTTGTCCATCACTTCATTTCTTACTTCCATGCCCCTATTAAAAAAAAAAAAAACTCCTGAAATGGCCCCTGGAAATCTGTTCTGTACACTATCCAGTCACTCTGCTCAGAAAGAGTTGCTGGCTTTCCTTGAAGCTACACACAAAGCCCAACCACCTGGCACTTGAGTCACCCAAGCTAATGCCTATCTTTGCTTTTTTGAATCACATTTCTAACTGTGACAAGGCACTCAGGTAGACTGCACATCCTCTCCTATTTGGCATGTGTGATCATGTGACTGAGTTCCCTTAATGGAGTCGAGGACCTGACTAAAGACAGCTCTATGACCCTCCATGATTGCTCTCTCTTTCCACCTCCTGCCCTCTGGATCTGGACACCTATTTGCAATGACGAGGTCCAGGGGAGAGAATCAGTACAAAGGAGAAGCAGTCCAAGTCTCTAGAATAACATGAGCAAAAAGAGTTGTCAAGCTGTGGCCAGGAGTCTGACTATTATACATGCTGTCCTAAATTGCTGTGAACAAGAAATTTATCCTGCAGTCCTCAGAATGGAGGAAGTAGTAGCCTAGCCTACTCTAATTCAGTAACTCTTGTGGCATTTTCTACTGGAAGCACACAAAGGCTCTCTGGACAAGGAAGCCCCGGCACTTATATGATCTCTAGTTTTCCACAGCACTGGCACTGGGGACAAGAAAGCTCAGTAATGCAGGGCTACTCCTCTCCCTTTCCGGCATCTGTTATCTGTTACTCAATGCTCAGAGCATTATTTCCTCTTTTAAAAAAATCTCTGTGTGTGTGTGTGTGTGTGTGTGTGTGTGTGTGTGTGCGCGTGTGCGTGCGCGCGTGCGCTCACAGCAGCATGAGCACATGCCACGCATGCAGGCATGTTCATGTCATGGTGCACGTGTTGAGGACAACTTCTGGTGTTAGTCCCACCTTGCCTTTTACTTTCTTTGAGAAAGGGTCTCTCGCACGTCAGTGCTAAGACGGCCTTCAGGCTTCAGGTGTTCCCATCGCTCTCCTCTCACTGCAGCAGCAGCGGTACTGCAGACGCACGCCTCTGTCACTGGTTTTCGTGCTTTTTGATGATCTAAACACAGGTCCTCCCCCATGCTTGTGTGACAAGCCTTTTACCCACTGAGCCATCCACCTCTCTAGCACAGCCCCGCATGTTCTCATCCACCCCTGGGTGAGTGGCACTGTGTGCCAGGCTAAGAAGAACTCATGTCTAGCTGTATTGATGCTGGTCTTTTCAAGCCAGTTGTGATCTTTTCCTTTTGTTAATGGTATTTATTTAGTTAAATTCTACCCAATAACCTTTCTTTATTTTTTGTTGCTCTCATTTAATTTTAAATTTGCTTTAATACCTGGTGTGATCATGGACACTGTATCTTTCAGAGTTTATACATAGACAGATACCTGGAAGGGCTTCTTCATGTATCACAAGGCACAGATACACAAAAATCAGCATCACTTACATAGACTTGTACTTTTTCTTATTTAACTGAGCACACTTGGAATGCCTGCCATCCCAAACACAGATCAGAAAACTAAAGTAAGCCTCTGTCCTGTGGTAAAGGCTCTGCTATGGTCTAATGTTGGTGTCCTCCCAAAACACATGTGTGTTGGAATTGAATCCCTGGTGTGAGAGTATGGTGAGAAAAGGTCTTTTTAAAAAAAAAGATTTATTTCTGTATTTTATGGATATGGATATTTGCATATATACTTGCATAACAGAAGAGGACATCAGATCTCATTATAAATGGTTGTGAGCCACCATGTGCCTGCTAGGAACTGAACTCAGAACCTCTGGAAGAGCAGCTAGTGCTCTTAACCTCTTAGCCATCTCTCCAGCCAAAGGAGAGGCCTTTCAATAATAAAGTCATAAGAGATCCGCCCTTATGAAAATGGGATTAGTTTTCTTTATAAAAGTAGAAGGGGAGCCAGGCGTTGGTGGCGCAGGCCTTTAATCCCAGCACTTGGGAGGCAGAGGCAGGTGGATCTGTGTGAGTTTGAGGCCAGCCTGGTCTCCAGAGCGAGTGCCAGGACAGGCTCCAAAGCAATACAGAGAACAGGCAGTGGTGGTGCACCCCTTTAATCCCAGCATTTGGGAGGCAGAAGCAGGTGGATCTCTGAGTTGGAGGCCAGCCTGGTCTACAGAGTGAGTTCCAAGACAGTCACAACTGTTACACAGAGAAATCCTGTCTTGGGGGAAAAAAAGTAGAAGGGGTGCCTCATCCTCTGCCTTGCAAGGGTGCAGAGATGCATACAACACACAGTCATTAGCCCATCTATGAAAAAAGAACAAGCCGCTAATACTGCTGTATAAGCAAGTGCTCTGTTGACATGGAACAGGAGAAACACCAAGCGCTGCTGGCGGGATTATAAATAGATGCAGCCGCCTCCAGGTTTTACATAGCTTGTCAAAGGAAGTGTGCATGAAAAACCAGAAGTTCTATTCCTAGACATACAACCAAAAGAACTGTGCAAGGGAGCATCAAGAGCCACACATGAGAATGGTCACACAGCCCTCCTGTGACAGCGAAAAAATAGAAACAATACAAATGTTCATTAAAAGCAGATGGCTTTTCATTCTGTTCATTCATAGAATTAGGACAGCATACCAATGTGTTGGATTTCTTCTAGCTGCCTCGCTAAACCTCTCTGCCTCTCCTACCATACTATCTGGAAGCACAAAGAATGAGGTAAAGGTACTGAGCATGGTGAAAGGGTTTGATTTCATTTCTTTTTTTGCATTTACATGTGCACATGCGTGAATCTGTATATGTGTGACATGTGACATGCCGATCAGAGGACAGCTTGTGGGAGTGTGTGTGTGTGCTTGTGTGTGTGTGTGCTTGTGTGTGTGTGTGTGTGTGTGTGTGTGTGTGTGTGGTGTATGTGTATGCATGCATATATGCAGGTCAGAGGACAGCTTCTGGGAATCAGATCTCTCCTTCCACTATGTGGGCTCTGAGTATCAAACTGAGATCATGAGGGGTGAAAATGCTTTTACCCATTGGGTCATCTTGCTGGCCAAGGTTATGTTTAAAAAAAATTTCCTAATTCTGAGACAAGAAAGTACTTAGAATAGCAATATATCAGGTGACAGTTTCATAATTTACTTCATCAGGTATGAAACAAGGATAAATGATGAGGTTAACAAAACTAAGAATTTTTTCTCTTCTGTTTATCAGTAGTAATAGCAGTCCAAGAAATGTGAAATTCATGGCTGAAATTCAAAATCAAGTTTTTAGCTGTCCCATAGAAATCTTGTTTTTGTAACAATGATTTAGGCAACGTTTTACCTAATCCCTGAGGCTAAAAGCAAAACATATCATAATTACTTATAAATTAAATGAACTAAAATTCCTACAACATACACAGACACATATACTCACTTGGCTGACATGCACTGGTGTTAAAATTAAGTCCAGAACTCCAGACCAGCCAGCAAACACACCAAGTGGTATGGCATACGCTAAGGCAATCATCAAAAACCGCAAATTGCTGCAAAAGAAGACATTATAACAAATTAAAATGTAGAACTTAAACTATTTATGAAACACTTAAGTCATTTTGAAACTGGATCACAGACTGGAAGATTCTTTAACCTGTTAATTTTTTATAAGAACCGGCTGTAACCGGGATGATTTTATCACACGCCTGTGCTCAAGGCTCAGTAGGTGGAAAGAGAGTCCCAATTGTTGGTGGATGGATCTAGGGAATAGTGTTTTCCAGACACAACAGGCACATAGGAACTCAGAGTCTGTGACAGCACATAAGACCTGAACAGGTTCAAACCAGACAAAAACCCAGCATGGAGAAGAGTGGACACAAAGTCCCATCCGTAACCAAGAACATATGTAAGCAACATGCCTAGAGAGGGAAAATCAGTTTTCTTTAATCAAGTGACAACAGCTAGTATCATTCACACTCCAGGGCAGGCCCTATGCTCAGATATGGTTGGCCAACACAAACGGGCTCCATGGTTTTGGCTTGTGATTTCTTTTGTTTGGGTTTGTGTTTGGCTTTCTTGAGAGAGAAAGAATATGAATCTGGGTGGGTAAGAAGGGGGTGAAAATCTGAGGTAAGTTGGAGGGGGAAAGAATATGATCAATATATGGCATGAAAATTACAAAAAAGAAACTATACCAAAAGTATCCGTTTCACTTCTATTTCCTTTTGTTCGTTTGTTTGTTTTATTTTGTTTTGTTTGAGACGGGGTTTCTCTGTGTGGTTTTGTAGACCAGGCTGGCCTTTGCCTCCTGGGTGCTGGGACTAAAGGTGCATGGCACCATTGCCCGGGACATGACAGACAGCAGACTGACAGATAGAGAAATATTAAGCCTACTTAAGAGAGCAGAGACAATCTAAGTTGATGGACAGTCCATGCTATCAGTCTACATTGACCTGTAAATTCAATGTAATCACAACTAAAATCATAATTGTATTTTTTCTAAAAACTTAAGAAATACAAAAAAATAAAATCCCTTACAAAGCTATCACCCTTACAAAAAGATTGGTGGGGAAGCCCTTGTCCTGAGACAGTAGAATTAACTGCTCGGCTAAGGCAGTGACAGTGTGGCATTGGTTCATGACAAAGAAGATAACGGAGAAGCACAGAGACCGTGACACAGAAACTCCACTCAGTGAAACAGCGCTGCCCACCAAGTGCCAAGGATGTTTCCAGAGTCTGTTCATCGTAAGAGGAGAAATGTCTTCCTCTATCAGTTGTCAACAGCATTTACTAAAGTGGAATAGAAATAACTATTAAGTAGATTCACGAGGCAATAGGAAATGTAAACATTGGGGGCTGGAGATGGCTCAGTGGCTGTTCTTCCAGAGGACCTGGGTTTAATTCCCAGCACCCACATGGTAGCTTACAACTGTCTGTAATTCCAGTTCCAGAGGCTCTAACACCTCACATAAATATACTTGCAGGTAAAACACCAATGCGTATAGAATAAAGATAAAGAAATCATTTAAAAGGCTGTAAAGAAAGAAGATGTAAGCCCTGACCTGACAGGACCTTCTGAGGTAGGATGATATTATACTTATCTTACAAGAGTTCTTAAAGAGCCAGGGGCTGACACAGATGGATCCAGAATTTGAGGAAAGCTTGGGAAACACAGTGAGATCCTATCTCAGTTTTTTTTTTTTTAAGGTCTGTATATTTCAATGTATATTACATATACTGAAGCATTTCTGGATGAAGTTAACTGTCCTTGGGTGAAGCGAGTGGGGCAGAGATAAGACAAGGTGGGTAAGAAGCAATAACTACTGGTATTGAGTTCTTGGAAGTAGAGGCGGGTGTATATTATTCTATTTCCTACACATTACAATGTTCTAAAACCAAAAGTTTAAAATGTAGTTCCTTTGGTATAGAGCTTGCCTAGCACACATGACTCTCAGTCCCACATAAACTGGGCGGTGTGGCACGTCCGTTATCCCAGCACTCATGAAATGGAGACCTGACATAGGTGGAGGCAGGAAGATCAGGAGTTCAAGGTTAATCCTGACTAGAGTGAAGTTGAGGGCAAAATGATATCCTGTCTCAAAACAGACAAACAAAACCCAGGCAAACAGAATGACGAATATAAACTGAGCGTTGAAAAACTCTACATATTTTACAAAAGCAAAGAGGTAAAGAAACTCATAAAAATGCCCTTGAGAAATGGGAAGAGGATGGGGAGTGGGAAATATAAAAAGACGGATGAAAATAAAATGAAGGGATAAAGGGAACAGGTTCAACTCTAAATGCAAACCCAGCAGCCATCACCAAGCATGACAAAAGGGCAAAGAGGATATAATATATAATATATATATAATATAATATAAAGTTCTTCATTGGAAGGAATTTGCCACGGGTAAAGGGATAAAGAGATTTAAAAAGGAAGGAAGAAAGAAAGAACTAGAGAGCTAATGAATTAGAAACAATTCCTGATAGCTCACCAGGAAAGAAAATTCAGAAGGTAACATCACATGTCCCAACTGCAAGTTACAACCCGCAGTGACTTTGATATGTTTGGAGTCAAGGTTAGTCCTGGGGCATTTGAGCCTTTGAGGGCAGAGTCTAACTAAAGCTAAGTAAAACCAATAAAATGAAGTGACGCATTGCATTTCACACTCTATGAGCCTAGTGGGGGCACACTGAGATGGTTTTAGATGATATATAAAGGATATCATTTTATTACTTTGTATTGACTACTACCTATGTAATGTATGTTAAGGATATATGGTGTAAGTTTCTGTAAGACACAAATTAAGAGATCTGATTTTTAAAATATTTAGTAATAATCTACATGGAATATGGATGAAACAAAATTTAATGACTTTTTTTGGTGTGTGGCGAATTTTCAAGATATAGTTCTGATAGGAAATTAATTAGTATTTTAATTAATATTAACATAAATTAGTTACAAACTAATGCTGAAAAATTACTACCTCAAATTATCCTTAAACATTAAGAATTAGGGGCAAGGGAGATGGCTTAGGGGGCAAAGCACTTGCCAAGTTGTGAAGGTGGAATAGAGAACCAACTTCATAGTTGTCCCCTGACCTCCGTGTGTGCTGTGGAACATGTGTGCCACCTCCACATCCATCACACAGACATACACAAACACACAAACAGACCAGACACATAGACACAGACAGACATAGACACACTCAGTGATAAGATATAGACACACATACAAACACCCACAGACACACCCACAGGCATGCAGACAGACATAGACACACACACAGGCACAGACACACTCACACAGAGATAGAAATAGACACAATTACACTGACAGCTGCCACGGGCACAGTCTACTCACCTTAGTAACCTACAAAAGCTGCGTCGGTAACTCAGCCGCTGGCTGGCTGCAGCAACACTGGGAGGAAGAGGAGGCCGGGGTGGAAAATAAGCGAGGGTTGCAGTAAATATTAGACAGGCAACTCCAAACTCTGAAAGAAAAATAAAAGTGAAGTGTTAACCAACGATACAAAAAGTCAGTACTTATTCCTTTAATATCTAGCGCTACAAAGACAAGCAAAAACACCACTCAGCCCAGTGCAGAGGCTGGGCGTGTGCAGACCTAAATTCTACAGGCCACCAATAGGGGGCGTGCTATGAACAAAGATGCACAGTGGTGCCTGTATGCACCAGCCATCCAAAGGCTAAGAGATAACAATGCTACTCTACGGGAAAGCCCACCCAAACCCTGCAGGAGAAACTCTGAAGCAAGTCTAATTCTAATAAGCGTGATTCTCAGAAGGAATATGGGAGGAGGCTGGAATCGGCAGGATTCTGTCTGATGGAGGGCAGGACTTCTGATGCGTGGGTAAGACAGACTCAATTCACACGCTGCAGGAATTAAACAAGACAAGGAAGCATCTAAAAATAAGAAACACAATGCTCTACGTTCTCCTCAGTCCCTGCTTTCAGTTTTATCTCCTCTATGCCAAATCCAAAATGTAAATCTCATCATGTAACTCTTGGGGATGAACTTCAGAGTGTGGTCTTGGCCCATGGAGGGGCCTACTCTAGAAGCTTCCATGGCCTGGCTTCCCTTCTGGCTCAACAGATGCTCACTAGATCTCAACTACTCTATGCTTTCGGGTGTTTGGCTGCACCAGGTTCTCTCCCTTCACTGGGAGTTTTCTCGAGGGTTCTGTCTTTTCATCTTCCCTTGTCCATTCTCAGGTTATCTGCTAACCTCCAGGGAGTTCCGATGCACGCTCACAATCTGAGACAGGCATGCCACTGCTGCCTCGGAGCTTCAGAGCCCTCAGCATGGCACCACCACTCTGTACTATGACTGTTTACCTGCCTCTAGGCACTGCTGAGCAGAAACCATGGCAATCCCAGTGCCCAGCCTGTCAGGGTCACCTGCATGAAACACCCTCTCGCCCATCTGAACCATCTGGTGAATATCTATGAAATTCTTAATTTTGATTATTATGTTCTTGGTAAAGCTTTCCTTAATCCCTCAGTTCCTCTCTAAACCCAGGCAAGTTTGGTTCCTCCACTTATGTGTACTACAACAGTCTCAACACTGATCTCACCAATTCCCAGTGCTAAGCAAAGAGACACAGCAAAGATTTATAAAAGCCCGAGGAGCAAGAAATAGGCGTATGAGGGAGGACACATGAAATTGATTGACCAGAAATAACAAGGGGCGGGGATGTAAGAGAATGTTTTAGAAAGGTCAGTATCTCTGATTGACAGACTAGCATACACACAGCAATAAAGAGAAGAATAAACTACAGGTGGTCGAGATTAATAAAGTGAGAGGATGTGGCCAATAATGGGAAAATTGCACGGGAGAAAACAGGCTGAATGCTACCAACATATGCTTGACATATGTTTATGGTCAAGCATGACATTCAGTTTTGTATACAGATACCAAATCTAGAGAAGACTCTAGGATATCTATTATAAAGCACTTTACTGTAAATGGACTAGAAGCATGAAATTAACAAAGAATTTTCCATGTAGCAAGAGCATGTTACATTTAACGACGTCCTAGGAAGGGTTGCTTCAAACGGGAACCTCCACATAATACAATGAAAGTACATTCTGAGACTGTGTATCAGTCCTCAGGGGTCTCCTGTGATATGACCTAGCACACCAGAACTAGAGAACAGAGACTGGAGTACAAACCAAAGTCAACCAGGAAGAAAAAAATCTCCATAGTACCTGCATATAACACAGTCTCGATGCGGTCTTTGATATGAGCCCTGCTGCTCTCTGCAGCGAGAAGGGGCGATGTCCCATTGGGAGCTGGAACGACGAGGGGCCCGACAAGAAACGCACATGCTCCACCAAGGTAACTCAACATTGATGCAATTGCTGTGGCAGTGGCTCGCTCATCTGCAGAGAACCATGTTGTAGAGAGGAACGGGGCTGCATTCATGACAGTTGGGCCTGCCAGTCCATTTAATATCTGTCCGCCATGGATTAATCTGGAATTAGGAAAGTTACAAGGTTGGAAGACATTGGAAGAAAGCATTTTCTAAATCAAAAGGAGCTTACTAAGCAAACAGCAGTTTAACTCTGGCAATAAAAACACCCACGTAAAGAGTAATGGCACGCCGAGAGGATGAGCTGACCTACTTTCAAATGCCATGATGACTCTCTGGGAGGGAGACTAAGGATGGTGAGTTACCATTTACTCACTTCACAAATATGAAACTAAGAACTTGCTATAACCTTGCGTGGTGGCTTGACTAGGAATGGCCACCATAGGCTCATAGAATTGAATGGTTATTCACCAGGGAGTGGCACTATTCGGAGGTGTGGCCTTGTCGGAGTAGGAGTGGCCTTGAGGGAGGAAGTGTGTCACTAGGAGTGGGCTTTGGGGTTTCAAATGCTCTAGCCAGGCCCAGTCTCCTCCCTCTCTCTCCCCGCCCCCTCTCCTTTCTCTTCCATGCCCCCCTTCTGCCTGCTGCCTGCAAATCCAGATGCAGAACTCTCAGCTCCTCTTCACCATGTCTGCCTGCAAGCCACCATGCTTCCCACCACGCTGACAACTGACTAAATCTCTGAACTGTAAACATGACCCAATTAAATGCTTTCCTTTGTAAGAGTTGCCATGGTCATGGGATCTCTTCACAGAAATAGAACATTGACTAAACCACTTGGTTCGTTTACCCCATTATTGTTTCAATTTGCTGAAATAGAGCCTAAACTTGGAAGAAACTTGCCAAGGTGCTAACAAAGCAAGGCAAAATTAGAATAAAAAGTATTGTTTTTTTTTTCTAGTAGACTACCACTCATTAACAGTCCCTAGATACGATACAGTTGAACTCAATATTTCATACCGCTCTACACCAAGACTTCCATGCTATCCACACACAAAATAATCACCAAGACTCTTCTGGTGTCAGATGGAAAATGTTCTGGCCCGAGTGGAGACCCAATGTTCCAATTGGGCTGCTTCAGTTACTTTGCCTAGGAACAGCCCTAGGACAGTGGACTCACCTTGGGCCATGCTAAAGAGACAGGCGGGATCCTTCACTCCTAATGAGATTCTGTACTTTTCCTCCTGAGAACTCATGCCCCAGCTTAGAAGGCCGCAGCCACGTAAGTAGTAAGTCTGCCTGCCTTTTCTGAATTATGAAAGTGTGGCTTTTCTCTCCTTTCCATCTATTTTCTAAGCACCCCTTCCCCAGCACCCTGTGTCTCCCTGCTCTTTCCCACCATCTGGTTCCTGCCCACCCTGTGTCTGACCTCCATGCCAGCTAAATGGAACCGCTTTTCCCTCCTCTTTTCCATTTGCCTCCTCCAAGCAGCTGCTGAAGTTTTACAGCTTACCTGTTCTGGGACTTTACTTTTAAGTGTTAATAAAATTGTTTCCATTTCAGTCCATACTTAAATTCTTTTATTAATGTGACTAAGAACCCCAAAGTGGGACCTTGATATCCCCTGTATCACTCTCTGGATCCCATAAGAACTGATGTCTGAGTGGCCCCAGGCACTAAAACTCCATTTGTATGTAACAAGGTAGGTTTAGACTCGGTGTGCATTTCCTGGGAATCTTTGAGGCTGAGGTCCTGGAACCTTCGGCTAATGAGACCTTTCTCAGGTGTGTTGTGTTGAGGATTGGACCCAGAGCCTCATGCCCCCCCCTCCCCCTTCTGACTTCAAGTATAAGGGTTAGTGAAGGACAGACAGCCTTACTGTCGTCAAACATTCTCTAGTTAACTTTTCCTAATTGGCTACCTAGCACTCTTGCCTCTTACTGCCCAAACCCTCATCCCCTTGGTGATCCTCTTCTCAACACACACACTCACATCCGAGAGCAGTCCTGAAGGAAAAAGCCAGGTGTTCACAGACATCTAGGCAAGAAAGGAAGGCAGGGCAGCGCCTCCTGCCTCGGAGGCAGGGAGGAAGGGACCTGGCAGGTGAGCTTCTCCTACCTGGGCTTTTTAAGTAGTATGTGCATTTTCAATTCTTTCTCTCTTTTTACTTTCTAGTAACTGGGCATCTTAAGCCATTCAGAAAAAAACATTTCCCAAATGTAGAGAGAAATGATAAACAGGCACAGGAGGAGACAGGGGCCTAAGCAGGAGCTAAGAAGTGAAATATGCAAACCACGTCTGTTCTTCTTGTTAGGTAGATTATTTGAAGGGAAAAGAGCTCTGACTGCCATTAATATTCCTAGGTTCAAAAATGAAAAAAAATTAAGATCTCTTGTGTAAGGGAAATAATTTTCTAGGTACAGAATTGCATTTAAATGTTTATGTGACCAGATAGTTCCTCCAAAGTCAGCAGATCCCAAGACACCTACAGCAATTCCATCACATGGCATCTTTTTCACTGTAGACCTGTTTAAGCATAATCAGTACGCAACTGAACTGTTTAAAATCCTCAAGTCAGCTGGGAAGTGTTGGCATGCACCTTTAGTCCCAGCACCTGGAAAGCAGAGGCAAGCAATCTCAGTGAGTTCAAGGCCAGTCTGGTCTACAGGGCAAGTTCCAGGACAACCAGGGCTACACAGAGAAATTCTGTCTCCAAACAAACAAAACAAAGAAATTAATAATAATAAAATCCTCAAGTCACCCAAATGTGTATATGGGATCAATACCATTTATAAGTTTTTAGAAATTTCAATTTAGCAATCCAAAAAAGGCAAAGTCGGGGCTGGCAAGATGGCTCAGCAAGTTAAGGTGCTTACTGCCAAGCCTGTCACCCGAGTGCAATCCTTGGGAACCACAAAGTGAATGGAGAGGCAGGGCTGCCACAAACTGTCCACTGACCTCTATAACCACGTCACAACACACATGTACTGTCCCCATCACACTCTCTATACTAAGAAAAATAAAGGTCATTAGCAAATATTCTGGAGTTAATGCTATTACAAAAGATGTCGAGGGTGTAAAGGTCAATATGACATCACCGTCAGCACAGTGGCTGGGGGCAGGGCGGAAGCTAAGGCACTTTCATTTCTGGCCAATAAGCCAAGTGGCACAACAGGAATGGTCAGGAGCTGCCCTGAGCTATTCAAGGGGTGTAAAGCCTCCTTACCAGAAACATCACACACATGGGGGTCTGTCCATTGGGCCTGTGCAGGTCTGTCAGGGGCAGCTGTGTTGCCTCGTTCCTCCCTGCCTCCTCACACGGCAGTGTCCCTCAGTGTCCTCTGTCCCAACCAAAACTCAAATCCTTCAGCTTCCTTTCTCCCACAATTCTTTTCTTTCTTGCCACTTTGCAAGCTTCATTTATCCCACCACTGTAAGCTGGGTGGAAAATGGATGAGACCTTACTTTTTAAATATGGGATAAATTTAGGGTTTCCATAGTAAGCATCGTGGAGAATAAGATAGAGGTTCCTCTTGTACCCATGGACCTGGGATGCGGGGATAAGAATGTGCACTGCCATGGCTTGCTAGCTAGACCCTGGCTATGAGAGGTCTGCTGAATCCTTCAATTAATGCCCTGTACACAGAGAGGACAAGCCCTGAGGGCCACACAGGCTGGCACTCATGCATAGCTGTACTCCTTTTCATATTTTTCAGTATTATTTGGATTTTTCAAAGAAATGTCAATGGCTCAAGTTTAGACCAAAGAGCTAACTCTGTGTTTTCTAAGTACTTGACTTTCAGCTTACATTTAATGATATTCTGGTATCTTATCCTTTTGCTTTCTAGCATCATGGACAAATACCTACGATTCCTAAATGATTTCCACACAGAACAATGTGTTTTATCATTTAAATTTTTATAGCTAAAAGTGATTCCAGACCTACTCCCTTGAGAAGTTAATAACACATTCACAAAATAACATTTATGTTGGGTGGTGCTGGGAGACACCTTTAATCCCAGCACTCGGGAGGCAGAGGCCAGCCTGGTCTACAAAGCGAATTCTAATATGGCCAGGGCTACACAGAGAAACCCTGTCCCCAAGAAAAGAAAAGAAAAATAACATTTATAATTTAAAAACTTCCCTCTCTCTAGAAAGCATTGGGTGGGGTCTCAGGCACATAACTAGTGGCTAAGGTGGGACTCGGAAGCACAACCAGAAGAGATGTCATCACCCACAGGCCTCTCTGTTCTCCCACAGGCATCATTCTGCAGGTAGGGACAGTAAAAATCAGTGGCTGCTACAATGCCCCCAGGCAGGCAGAGTGAAGGTAAACAGTGCCCAGGACATTTCCATCCTGATTATAGTCCTACTTTTCCAGCCCCTAGGGTATGACTTGCACTGCTGATGCCAGAGACTGACTTTTTTAAAAACACTAACAGATACATCCTGGGGGCTAGCCAGTGTTCTTTACTTAAATTCTATTTTTAAATATGAAATATTTTAGAAGTCATAAAATATTACTTGCCTGTTAGACTTAACATGCCAACAATTTAGAAACTTTCTCCCAATTCCTAACCAACATAAACTCACTGGGTATTGAAAATAGGAGAAGCGCTAGAAATAGTCTGCCTTCTTCGTAGCCCAAGAACGGTTCAGAATTAACTCTAGGAGAAAGGAACTTAGGCAAGGAGAGCCAGACCCGGGGAAAGTCCCAAGCTTTGGACATGTCTTAGAGCTTCTATTTTTAAATGAAAACTTAGTGTACTTTTAAATCCTTAAACAATTAGCCAATTATGACTGAATTACAAACACCCCAAGTATCCACAATGCTCAAGGCTGCTGTAGCATCACTGTCAAGGACATAAAACCCTAAAAAGACTGCTAATTGTAACTTCTCAGACACCATTTAGAAAGGACAGGGCAGCGGTGCACAGCACACTGGGTTTGACACAGAGTCAACACTCAGCCTCTGGGTTATCTCTATGATCTTTGCTGAGTCCCTCATTCACCTGTCCATTTCTCCAAAGACACTTTATTGGTGTTTCACAAGGCCAAATACAACAACCTTTTGCTAGATACGGGAGGAAAATGGATTTAGTCCTGGCCTGCAAGGTGCCTACCTCCCCTCACATTGCCTCATACCCTTTCTTGCCAAATAA